TGTTTGCCTTCTGATTAAATTTTATATAGGTATGAAACTGTACTGAAATGAGAATGAAGCAGAGGTTTGTCATCCATTTAAAACAAGAACCATAAAGCCATCCTATCTCTAGGCTTTGAAATTAGCTTTCCGTCAACTTATTAAAAGTCTTGAAATAGGAAACAGTGTATGAATAGACCCATGAATATGATGAAGCACAAAAGGGCCAAAGTTATGAAAACATAGAAATAATTTGTCAGAGCAAGTTGTGGGGATCAGGACCATAGTTCCTGGGCACACCAAGATCCATGTGCATAACATGGCTTGCAAAAACAATGTTCTTCTTCCTAATTTGGTGAGTAGTGACGGGGTTCTTTAACGCTCACCAGCAGTCCTCTAAGGTGCAACTATTGGTCTCTCCCTGCCCAGATGGGTGAAGAGTAACAAAAATGTTAAGTCACATGGAGACAATTAGTCCAATGGACCAAGGAACCATGAAGGCATCAGTCTACAGCCCTGAGATCAGGAGAATTAAAAGGTGCTCAACTACTACTAGCAATTGCTCTGAAAAGAGTCACCTTGGAAACTCCAGGAGAGAGTGGGAGAAAAATGTAGAACAGAACTGACCACCCTAAAAGGGACCAGGCTTACAGGTCAGATGGATGCTGGTGCAACCCCCATGACTATGGCCCTTCGCCAGCCTACAGGTCTGGAACTGAACTCACCCACATGTTAGACACGTCAATCATTCAAGTTCAAAGCGCAGCATTTGCCCAAGGACAAAGTTCAGAGAGTTAGAAATGAAGGAGGCAAAAAAAAAAAAAAAACAACAACAAGCAGGAATTACAGAGAAGACATGGAATTAACATTGAGGAGATCGCAATGCATGCATCGAATCAAAATGTGTATAAATTGTTGAATGTAAAACTATGATGTGCTCTGTAAATATTTACCTAATTCACAATGAGAAGTTCATGGGAAGAAAGATGTACAGACCAAGATGGAGGGTATTTCAAGAAACAATCAGTCATTTTACATGTTGATACTTGTGTTTCATAAAGTTTTCTGTGGTTCTTTAGAAATGTAAAAGAAAAAAGAAAAGAACGATGCAGTAGTGTGCTCTTTCTGTCGCAGTGCATTCTGCAGATTTGCCCCTCACTTTTTTGGGTTGAGACCCATATTACAAATGCCTGTTATTCGAGCCCTTAAACCTATTATTCTGGACACTAATCCTTTGAGGTCCAAGAGCCACCTTCCTGTTTTAGAACAGGACAAAGTTACATCAAGATAAATAGAGCAATGGTTTTGATTTGTAAGATGTCTAGACTTTACGAATGTCAAGTCTGGTATCTTCTAAGTTTAAGAGTTGTATGTTTTTATCATGAACGTTGACAACTGTGTACTCCCTTCTGTTTCTGATTTTCTCTTCACCTGTCCCTCCACAGACATGCCCAAGCCACCCAGTGAAGACCTGTTCCTCTTTCCCGATGAGTATAAGTCTTCCACACGGCACACGCGCTCTCTCCTGAAATCCCATAGAAATGAGGAACTGAATGTGGAGACGCTCGTGGTAGTGGACAAAAAGATGATGGATAGCCATGGCCATGAGAACATCACCACCTACGTCTTAACAATCCTCAACATGGTAGGATGATCCTTTTTGTCACCTGTGTGACCTGAAACCTTTCCCCCAGAAGCCATGGGGAATCCAGATGTGAAGTAGAATGTAAAATATCCTCATGGGAAAGGTGAAACACAGTGCACAGTGTGCTGCTGTATGAAATCTAGGAGAGTCAGTTCATCTTAGTTGGATTTGGATGCCTTCAAAAATGCCCACACAAAACTGGCTTCCCAGGGGGTCTGCTGGGCCTGTCCATTTAAGGCAGAGAGGTCAGGTCAGAAAGTTATGGTGACGTTTGGGTGGAGTCAAAAGGGGTCATCTTGATAGCTCTCCTCAGAGGACACAGGACCATCACTTGGCTAATTATGAAGAAATATTAAGAAAATTGAAAACTGCATCAGTGAGCAAAAGGCCAGGGGAGTTGTCCCTTGGGAATCTTTTCCATCCCGACATGGCACCTGCTCTTTCCTTGAGGGTAGCAAGCACTATCCCCTGAAATTCTTGTTGGGAAACTTTACCCCCTCCACACTCCGGGATTAAGCTTGCCTCTATGATTGTCTGTTTATTCCACAAACTCAAAAACTTTGGACACGAATGGGATTTCCGTTCCTCGAGGATGTCCAAACTGCCGTTTTAATGTGGTGTAAGGTGAAGAGCACAGAGTCTGGGGGAGGGTTAGAGAGAGAACTGACCATCACCCGTAGAAGTGAACTGAGTTTAGACAACCAGGGCCTTACTGTTCTTCCAAGCACAGTCCTTCAGACACCAAGCCTGTTACAAAACACTACTTCACATCTCTCTATTTTAGCTTAGCCAATGTTTCTATGACTTTGTATCAAGATTGTCTTACTTACCCTCCTGTGTACATTGTCATTGCCGTGCAGTGTTGAGTCCGTTCCAACTCACAGTCATCCCAGGCACTAAAGAACAATTGCTGAAAAGCGACATCAGCGGGGTGATTTTTGTGGGAGCAGATTGCTAAACGCTTCTCCCACAGAATGGCTGGAGGGTTTACAATGCAGACTTTTCAGCTAGTACCTGAGTATTATATAGATAAAGATATAATATATAACAAGTTACTATTATATATCATATGTTTTATCATATCCAACATTATATGTACTACACTTACCAGATGCTCCATGGGAGAAATACAGGACTTTGTACTCCCTGAAAGAATTACTATCTCAGACACGCACAGGGGCAGTTCTCCCCCATTCTCTAGGATTGCTGTAAGTGAGCATTAACTCAATGACAGTGTGTTTGGCATTGGGGTAGAGTTCAATAAGTGGAACAAATGGTTTGCTCTCTGCTAGTGAGCAAGTGTTGACGGGTCAAATCCACCAACTGTGGCTAAGGGAGGAAGAGCTGATAATCTATTGTAATGAAAGATGACCAACGAGAAAGCCTTTTCTTTGGATCCTTTCTGCTCTATGAAACATGGGGTCCCCCTGAGCTAGAATGGAAATATCAGCAATGGGGTTGGTTTGGTTTTAGTAACACAGACACTGAAGCTTGTCTCTGCTGTTTCTGGGGTCCCTCATCAGTATATACAGTCATCCTCAAGAGTAAACATCCAGCGTTCTTCTAACGTGGACACTTATGAGCATGGACACCTCGGGATCCTGTCATTGGTGACCCTGGTCCTCCAAAGAAATGTCTAGATTTTGCGTTCATGCCCCCTGGATAAGAAGCCACCCGCTGGTAGCTATCTATCCCTGCACTGTCTGTGGAGCACTGGGAGCGCTTTAGTGTGGTGTCATCACCATCACTAAATAAACAAAAGATTCGCTTCAACCGCGGGATTCCACACCGACTGACAGGCTTTGGCAGAGCCACCAACTCTGGGAGCTGACCTGGAATTCCCTGTGCTTTTTTCAGGTATCTGCGTTATTCAAAGATGGAACCATAGGAGGAAATATCAACATTGCAATTGTTGGGCTGATTCTTCTGGAAGAAGAACAGGTATGGTATCTTGGCAGAAGCAGCTTTTTAGATAGATAGATAGATAGATAGATAGATAGATAGATAGATAGATAGATAGATAGATAGATAGATAGAAAATGCAAATGGAATGAATGTATTTCTGTTTCCTTTGAGGCCACTTCAGGAACATTTATAGCTAATGGATTGGGAGGAGAGGTGTGCACCAGGGTTGTAACCTGCCACCATACTAACTTAATCTGAACGTTTAGCCGATAGTCCAGGAAATTGGCATACACAATGAAGACGTCTTCAGGATTGGAGGAGGCTCATCAACAACCTGTGACATGCAGAAGATACAACCTTGCTGACTGAAAGCAAGGAGGAGCAGGAGCACTTGCTGTTGAAGATCAAAAGAATGCAGCCTTCAGGATGGATTCCACATTCCACATAAAGGAAACAAAAATCTTCACAACCAAGCCAGTTAATAATAATTTCATGATAAAAGAAGAAAAGATGGCAGTTGTCCAGCATTTCCTTTGGCTTGAGTCCACAATCAATGCCACGGCAAGCAGCAGTCAAGAAATTAAACTGCACCTCGCATATGGTACATCTGCTGACAAAACAAAACACTGCATTCACTGCCATTGCGTTGCCTCCGACGCATAGCGACCGTACAGGACTTAAGAGAACTGCTCCTCCCAGTCTCTGAGGCTGTGCCTCTTCCAGGGAGCACAAAGCCTCATCATCGTTATCCTGAGGAGTGGTTGGTCGGTTCACGCTGCTAACCATGCAGCGAACGGCCCCACATGTAACCCAGTATGCCACAGGGCCCAGGGGCTTCCGCTCCAGATCTCGTTTAAGTATTACAAATCAAGAATGTCCCTTTGAAGACTAAGGTGAACCTCATCCAAGAATGGTATTTTTAATTATTTCATATGCCTGGGCAACCAGGAAACTGAATAAGAAAGACTTATAAAGATTTGATGCTTTACATCTCAGCGTTACTGAAGAATCTTTTACATAAGACAGACTGTCAGAAGAATGAACGGTTTTGAATGGGAAGAACCCACTGACTGATTCACAGCCATCGAGTCAATTCTGACTCATGGAGACACTGTGTAAGTTTCAGGGGCTTTTGTTTATCTTTTTGGGAGAGAAGACAGCCTCATCTTTGTCCCACAGAGCTGTTGGTGAGCCAGAACTGCTGACTTAGTGGTTAGCAGGCAAACATCTTGGGAGAAACATATCCCAAAATTAGAAGCAAGGATGGTAAGACCTCACCTAATATACTTTGGACATGTTGTCAGGAGGCACCAGTTCCTGTGGCAGACTGTCGTGGTTGGTCCAGCACAGGGTCAGCAGAATGGAAGAAGACCCTCCATGAGAGATTGACACAGTGGCTGCAACCAGGGATCAAACACAGCAATGATTGGGAGGAGGTACAGGACCAGACGGTGTTTGGTTTTGCTTTATTGTACAGAGTCGGTATTCATTGGAACCAATCAGAGAGCACCAAAAAACAACACATCAATGTCATGGGTGCATTCCTAGTGGCTTTAAAGGTTGTTTGTTTGTTTGTTTGTTTTTTGGCACTTTGTGTTTTTCCATGCGAGAATAGTGATGAATACTTTCTTTCTTTCTTGGCTTATAAGAAAGTCAATAAACTAAATGAGCTTGTCTAAATAGGGTTGGAAGATACAAAGAATGGAGTGTTCAAAAAGTATCTTAACCTCCTGAGCTTTTAGATGGAATCCAGCCCTTTCTGTCTCTTGCTACAAGTCTAAACATTGTAAGACTATAACTCTAGAAGCTAAGTTGTAGGTATACTTAATATTGTTTCTACCCTATCCCTTCCCATGACCCCATCACATTAACCATCACCACCTCCGTTCATAGTAGAAATGCAGGAATGTTGGGCTCATTTTGGTGCAGATAAATGCAACTTATACAGAATCACGGTACGAGTACGTAAAAGAATCCCCATTTGTCTACATTCTAGAACCTCTCTATGGAAGCACCCATGGTTCAGTGCAAGAACTCTCACCTTTCATGGTTGTGTTAGTCCGGGTAGACTAGAGAAACAAATTCATAGAGACTCATATGTATATAAGAAAGAGCTTTATATACAAGAATAATTGAATATTGAGAAAACATCCCAGCCCAGATCAAGTCCATATATCTGATATTAGCCCATATCCCAATATCAATCTATAAAATCCTCTCAGACTCATGAAACACATGCAATGATGCTGAATGCAGGAAGATCACAGGCCAGTTGGTTGGAAGTCTTGTGGATCCAGTGGCATTATAAGCATCTCAGTGCTAGCAGGGGTCTCCAAGTGGTTCTTCAGCTCCTAGGTTCTTCAGTGTATCACCATGTGGCCATGTGTCTTGTCCATAGAGCATCTCTCAGGCAGTGAGCAGAAAGAGTGTCTCCCACCTCCAAGGAGGAAATATCGGAGTTCCCAGAATCCTCAGGGAAGGCCATGCCCACACAGAGGGCTCATTGGCTATGACCTGATTGACAGACCAGACTCCACCCCTTCACTCTTAATCCTCTTAAGTCCCCAGTTGACACCAGATTATGTAACTACCACAATGGTCAAGATGTGGGTTTGAGTTCGGGCCCAGGCACCCCTTGCATAGCCATCACCTGCCTTTCTCTGGAAGCTCATGTATAGTCTGGGTCCTGAACACTTCATCCGAGTGTACAGACTAACTTGGATGAGGAAACCCATTCTGCTGACCTCCTTCCAAAATTAGCCAATAAGACGATTAGACCATTTTTCTATGGGAACCTGACTCGAGAGGATCTACCTACATCAGCAACTCCTCGGTTACCAATGTATATGCCCATGCACATCCCTGTTAGAAGTAGTGAGAGAGAGGCAAGGTCTCTCAGTACAGGCGCTCCCTTCGGTTCTATTGGAAGGTGACCCCGACTTGATACAGGAGAGCGTGTCTCAGCCCCAGGATTCCAAATTCATGTCTACTCTTAGCTGGGTCTCCTCTAAGTCATCATTTTCTTATTTGTAAAATCAAAATTTTGGAGCTGACATGAGAAATCCCTTCTTCAGACTGTAAATTCTGAAAGATGCGGCCTTTTCCCCCGGGCAAGATGGGCGCACTCTTGGAGGGCTCTATGTCCACCCTCAGCACTCAGGGAAGATCCAAACTCATGGTCTTTTGTGTGTGGCTGGGGGAGGTGTTGGTGTTGAATGGCCATCTCAGGTGACAGGTTAATTATTCCTTGTACTAAAGCATTTTCACCTTGGAACCCGTCCAAGCTGCCAAGAATGAGTAGGGTTATCGTTTGATCATACACCTGTGTTCACTGTAATGAATACAATTTTCCTGGAAACCGCTAGCTGAAGAATGTCAGACATGCCTCCGTGTTTATGCTCAGCATTTCATTAGGTATATGGGGCTCTCTGGAAAAGTGAAATAAACATTTAAGGAGGAAACGTATTCAGACAAGGGGATATAATTTTTAACACAATACTCTAGTCTCACAAGTTTTCAAGAAGTTGATGCCTTAAAATCAAGATTTTCCCTTGATTTGTTTTTTCCCCTCAGACCACTCTCAGGACAATATCGCATACTTACGAATAAAGCTCACTGCACCTATCCTGCTATAGAACGCGTTCTTGCCACCTTAGAGGCTTTACTTCAAGTCTTCTTATTCTGAAACTCACAGTTTTCCAGTGCAGTTGATAAAACCTAAACAAACAAACAAAAAACCCCAACACACTGCCAACGAGCCCATTCCAACTCCTAAGTCAATGCCAACCCTATAGGGCAGAGAAGAACTGCCCCTGCAGGTTTCAGAAGCTTGAAGGGTTTATGGGAGCAGAAGGACTCATCTTTCTCCCCTAGAGTGCCTGGTGGGTTTGAACCGCTGACTTTGTGGTTAGGACTTCATTGTGGAGCCCACTATGTCCCCAGCATTCCTACAGTCCTCTAATAGAACTTGTCAAATCTAAGTAAGGTTGGGTGTCTTCTGTAAAGCTTCTTTCTAGATTTAGTCTCTGTCTTGCACAAAGCTTCCCAATTAGCCCGCCTCTTGGCATACGTTTGTTGCCTTCTAGGAAACTACTTCACTCTACTCATGATAATAAACATGAAGACAATTGTTGTTGTTGTTGTTGTTGTTAGGCGCCATTGAATCTGTGCCAACTTATGGTTTATGCACAGCAATCCTTTGCACAATAACCCTATGCACCAAAGAAAGAAACACTACCCAGCCTTACGCCATGCTCACAATGGTTCCTCTGCCTGAACCCATTGCTGCAGCCACTGTGTCAACCCATCTCCTTGAAGGCCCTCCTCTCTTTTGCTGACCCTCCACTTTACCAAGCATGATGTCCTTCTCCAGGGAATGGTCTCTCCTGAGAACATGTCCAATTATGCACTGGAAACTCCCATAGGCAGATTTGGTTCTGAAATGAGCACCTTACTCGTTAGGGGTGGTTTCTGTTTACCACACAGCTCTGGGGATACAATGGGTGACGCCTTGTCCATCAGCTGCTCCACTGGAGGAATGTTCCTTGCTCCCGTAAAGCTTTACAGTCTGAGAAGCCCACAGGGGATCTTCGACTCTAGTGTCGAGAGTCTCTCTGGATTGGAACTGACTCCATGATAGTGAATGTGCAACGCCAGATCTAAATGATCCTGTTGTCTTGTGTAATGTTGTGAAATATTTCATAGACCTCGAAGCCAATAAAAAGGAGCATTTACAGAAGGCATCTTCCCTGAGGTCACAGAAACTATTTTGCAAGATTTGCTCGGATTTCAATGCATCCTTTTTTCTTGTTTATCTAAATGGGCCTGATGAACCAGAGACATGTCAAATATATACTTTGAAAATACTTTTATTGGGGGATCTTACATCTCTTATCACAATCCATACATTCGTCCAGTGTGTCAAGCACATTTGCACATATGCTGCCATTATTATTTTCAAAGCATTCTCTTCCCACTAGAGCCCCTAATATCGACTCCCCACTTCTTCCCCCTCCCTCCCTGCCCAACCTCCTTCAGGAGCCCTTGATAAGTTGTAGATTATTTTTTCCATATCTTACATCCTCCTCCATTGCCTCCCCCAGTTTTACATTATTCATCCTCTGGAACAAATTTTTTGTGGAGAACTAAAGACATGAATGTAACCATCTCTACTGTATCCATACGGGTTGATAATATCCCCAGTTTGGGGTTTGTCAAGCACCCTGATTGGTGTATTTCACATCCTAGCTGGTGATAGTTTGCTGTGATGACAATACTAATGGAAACTGCATGATTCAATGTTTTCTTCCTTTATCATGGGGCTCTTGGTCTCTTGCTTAGCCAGGGCTCCTGCTAAGTCACCATGCCGATCACACCTTGAGTAGCTTCTGCCAGTGGCAGTCTGGACTGATGGGGAAAGATGGGACTCGCCATGACCATGCCATCTTGCTCACTGGTCTGGATATATGCTCCTGGAAGAATGAGCCCTGCGATACTCTAGGTATGTGCCTTCAGTAGGGTTTGAAGAACGTGGATATGTTGATCAGTTCCTCGGGAATAGGATATCGAGAATATCCAGGTTGCTTTTATATCCATACAGGGCAGTCACTGTTGAGCATAATCATGAAGAATGGACTTGCTTCCATATGCCAACATCTGTTGAAGACGAAAGTGTTTATGGGTCATCACTTGGGATTATTTAAAAAGAAAAAGTCCCTTATGGGATCAGAACCCTTATAGATTAGGTCTTCTTTTAGACGAACAACTGGTTTCTTCCATTTTGTCTTCTATTTGTGTGAATGGGGAGATTCGGTTGAAGGATATGTCACTGGGGCAGAAAGAGTATATTTGTAAATATTAGTAGCAATATTATTACAATATTACACTATTATACTTCCCCTCTTCTCATTTCCCCATTAAGATTCTAAATTTTAGCAGCGATTGTGGATGTGTCCGGGGCTAGGTATATCTCTGTGGCACCCCTTGGTTATTTTCCCAAAAACCCACTGCCATTGAGTCAGTCCCCACTCTGAGTGGTATTTTAGGACAGTGTAGAACCAGGCTACAGAGTTTCCTAGAATATAAATCTTTAGAGGAGCAGACAACCTCATCTTTTTCATGAGGAGCTGCTGGTGGATTAGAACCACTAACTTTCCGGGTAGAAGCCCAACAATTAACCCATTGTGCCACCAGATGTCATAGTGAAGGTGGCTATAGCTCAAAGGTAGAGCATTTGACTGGACACCCCTGGGCATTATCTCTAATGCTCCATGAATCCAGGGATGCCCCATTTCCTCTCAAAGATGATTCAGTTTAATAGGATCTTTCTACTCCCATAAGGAATTACAGGCTCAGACACCCATAGGGGCCTATCCTTCCAACCTGTCCTCTGGGGTCGCTATGAGTTGGCATCAACTCGATGGCAGTGAGTTTTGAGAGTTTGAGAGTCCATTAATTTGAACTTCACTCAGCCTTTTAAAAGGGTGGGTAGTGAAACATGTTAAAAGTGGAAGGCTGCATTTCAAATCTACCCAGAGACACCTGGGAAGAAAACCTGCTGATCTACTTTCAACTGATCACAGCCATTGGAAATTCTACAGAACACTTCTGTTCTGTAATGTGTGGGTTGGAATTGATTCAAGGGCAACCTCTCTGTTTGGTCTCGAGAACCCTGATACCTGCCTCCACCTGCAATAAACCCAGTCTTCCTTGTGCCCCATTGACAACCTGTGACAAGCCCATCACAGAGACTCCTGAATCACCTCTCATGTGACAGAGAGCCCTGTGGGCTCTGGGAATCGACTTTTCCTTCAAAATTAGTTGGTGTGCTTCACAGGGTTGTCCAAGGCTTCCTGCCTCATATTTCCCCCTGTGAGATGGGAACCTATCTTCTCTACAAGATCTAAAGCAAGCATACATCTTTTTCATTGTATTCTTCTGATCCCCTACCCTGCAGGATTTGCACCCATAAGTGGGATGTGCAGCAAATATCGCAGCTGTACCATTAACGAAGACACAGGGCTTGGATTGGCCTTCACCATCGCCCACGAGTCTGGACACAAGTAAGCTCCTCTCCACCCTAGCATGAAGCCTTTTCCTCATTGAAGCTTCACTATGTCAGCTCTCCAGTCAGTAAGTCAGGTCTGGGGAGGGAATTGGCATGCCTTCAGAGATGATGTCATGAACAACCAACAACACTGTCTCTTAGGTCCTGCATGCTGCTTATGCTGGAGCCCCGTGTCCTGGGTGTGTTGGGTGTGCACCCCGCTGGCACACCTTGTGTTCTTCTCCTGTGGTCCTGCTTTCACACGCACTACAGTTGAGCACAGTTCCCAACTGCTCCTCCGTCCTGGGATAGGAACTTCGTCCTGTGCACTGGTGTGATTCGCTGTTGGCACCTATCAGGGGCTCCATTAGCTGACAAAGTTGGCCAGTAACCAGCCCTGCCATGTGTTAAATGTTGTTGCTCAAATTTTCCTAAACACTTTGATTTTAGAATAATTTGTAGAGATGCTGCTTCTGGTTTCATGTTCTATGTAGAGTTTGGGGAATTGGGTCCTAAGAGAGAGCAGTTCTAGTAGAGTTGGTTACAGGTCCCACTAGTGGCTCCTAGGTTGTGGGTTTGAGATGAAAGCCAGACCTCAAGATAAGGGAACCTGGGACTCAGAACAGATTGGCCAAGCTACCACACAGGGAGTCCGGGTGGCAAACCCATTCAGCGCTCCTCTGACAACTGAAAGGTGAGTGGTTTGACCCAGTCCTGGGGCAGGACATCATGCGTGGTAACATGGAGGGGCAGCAAAAGAGAGTGAAGCCCTGGACACAGCGCTGCACCGATGGGCTCAAGCATAGGATTGATCGTGAGGAGGGCACAGACCAAGCAGTGTTCCATTCTGTCGTGCACATGGTCGCCAGGAGTCAGAACTGACTGGATGACTGAACAACAGCAATCAGTTTTGCTGGAGAAAAGGCCCACTGACCTGTGCAGCCTTGAAACCCCACAGGGCTGCTCCTCGGTCAAGGAGGGCCGCGGAGGCAGCCTTGACTTAGTGGCATAAAACAAAAGCAGCAGTGCCATGCGGGCAGCCCTGGGGAGTGACGGCATGCCCTCGGCCCCGTCTTTGCCCAGAAAAGGCTTATGTTCACTTCTGTAGGGTGGCAAAGGATTTTACTTATTTATAAAACCATTCATCTTTGGTAAGGCCCCTCCGCCTGACACGTCTGTCAGGCACCTGGCTTGGAAGCGCCTTCCGCTGAGACACAAAAGAGAGGCCCCGCCAGCCAGGAATGTGCGGTGTCTTTCTGCAGGTGCCTGATTCTCAGAGGCCCGTGGCAGCACCCGTATGTTTCCCCGGCTCTGTTGCAATCACCCTGGAAAGGTCTCCTGGAGAAAATGCAACCAGGAAAGCATTTTTCCCAGTCTCTTTTAGGCTAAAGGAAAACAAAGGCAGTGCTTTGCGCGTGTAGTGCTGACCTCTCCATGGACCCCTATGAGAAAGTGGACTGAGGTCAGAAACTTGGGTCACCCGGACTCATTCAGAGATCAGTATATGAAACATGTTTGGACATGTATGCTCAAATGGATGTGTGCCCATGCGTATGCCCAGGTGGGGTATGTGTACCTGTGCATGTACATGTGTGCACATGATTATATGTGTTTGTGTGCAAATGTGCACACATGGTACATGCGCATGTGTGCATATGTGAGCACATGCCCAGGTGTGTTCCATTCTGGGGGATTTTTCATGGACTCCCTTGGAGGCCCTGCAAGCAGGTGCGAGATCGAATGACCAGTAAGTGAAATAAAGCAGTATGTCTCATCGCCGGCCCAATCATCAGCGCAAGTCCTGATGGACTGGCTGTGTCAGTGCCTACAAAATTGTGTCTATGCCTCACAAAGCTGTCGGTAAAATCATAGCTGTATTTTTAATAGTCTGCTAGAGCTAAAACTTCAAATACTCTCATTATCTTAACTGCACGGGGCTTTTACTGTCCTCTGAACCATGTCTGAATTTAATTAACCAATCAAGGTCAAAAATGTTTAAATCACAGCGACTGAGAAAGTCAAGGTCAGATAAGCAGTTGAGATATGGGCCTTGGCAGCACTGACCGTTGCAGGTGGTAAATTTAACTGAAATTAAACTTGAGGCCCTCCGACCTGGATGGACCGTCTTCAGGGTCAACAGGCACCAGTGCATGCTCATTTTTTTCAGCAGAAGTCAATTATTCCTAAGTCCTTCCACCACTGCGCCTTGGTCCAGATGGATAAAGAATTTCTTACAAAGAAGGAAAAAGAAGTGGTGTTGTTGCAGGTGGGAATGGATAAAAGTAAAGAGGGGGGTGAGGAGCCCTGGTGGAGCAGCTGTTAGGCGCTCACCTGCCAAAGGAAAGGCTGGAAGCGCAGCCTTCCCAGTGCTCTGTTTCCCTAAGTTTACAGCCTAGAAAACTCAATGGACAGCTCTCGGTCACTAGGGGTGTCTGTGAGCCAGAATCTACTTGATGACTTACAAGAACACAGCAAGACCCCTCCCAAAGGCGTTCTGAATGTGCGTGGACAAGAGGCCCACTCACAAGAGAATTCAATGTCTCATGAGCACTGAATAGATAGAAGGCCCGGCGCAAGAGGCTGAGGGAGGAGGAGCTCCGGAGAGCAGCGTCCCACGGAGCCAGCATCCAAAGCCACGGCCCTGGCTGCAGCTCGGACTCCTGGAGATCCTGAAGGACAGGGTAGCACGCCTGCCTCCTCTCCTCAGGGTTTCTGAAGCTGTCAATCTTCACTGGAACAGAGAGCCTCATCTTCATCCTACGGAGGGGCTGTGGACTTGAACTGCTGACCTTGTGATTAGCACCCCAATGAGTAATCCGTTAGGCCACCTGGGCCACTTTCCTGTGACACAAAGAACTCCTTTAATGGGCCACCGCTCAGTGTGATCATAGATCGCTTCGATCTGCACTGGAAAAGCAAAAGAACGATCACATGGCTCATTTTATTTTAATCGTCACTTGGCTGTGGTGATCGGGAATGAGCCCCACCCCCAGCCCCGTGTCTCTGAGGAGTGCCCATCGTGGGAAATGGCCACGCGCAGGCTGACGGCTGGGCTGCATTCTCCAGACACTGTTTACTCTGGTCCTGAGTTTGCTACGGTCTACTCTGGTCCTACTCCATTTGCTAAGAGACAGATGCAGCTCAGTTTGACCATGTCAATCCTGCCTTCTGCATGCATGAACTCCGACACTGGACACCATCCTGTTCTGTGGGCGGGGCACTGTGTGCTCCTGTTGTTGTCAGGCTCCCTGGTCACTTCTGACTCCATAGCAACCCCACGTCTAATGGAGGGAATCACCGCCTGGCCCGTGCTGTTCTCACACCTTTTGTTCTGTTTGCTGCAGCCACAGGGTCAATCCATCTCTTTCAGCGTCTTCTTCTCTTTAATTGAGTCTTCTCCTTTACCCAGCGCAATGAGCTTTTCCAGGGCCTGGTCTCTTCTGATAAAATACCAAAGCTACTGAGTAGAATCCCACAAAGAGACAGTGACCCAAGCAGTGGTGGGATTCGGATCATGTCACCCCCGGTTTGCTGCCCTACTGACCATTTTAAGTAGACAATATGTATATACTGAAAGGTAATTTGTTAGGTTATGCAGTTAATACTTAAATAAGAGCAATAAAAGAGGTACGCAAGACTAGATTATAAGAGTTTTAAAATATTAATGAAAACTATTAAATAAAACCTGACCAAAAATGGGATTTATTCAAGATAGTCCCACATTGCTTAATTGGTATCTTCACTTGCAATGTTCTTCCCTTATTTCAAGCATAGTTCTACCTAACTTTCTATACCTATGGACAGAATGAACATTACTGCAAGTGCTGAGAATACACGCTTGCACAGATGAATGTTAAAAAAAAAAGAGTAAGCATTGTAACTTTGTGACTTCCACATTGGGCAGCTGCCCAGCTCCCACCTTAGAGAGAACCTTGATTACAAGTGTCATTTTAACACCCAGCTTGCCGAACTCAAAATATTAGGTGTCGGTTCTGCCAAACTGGTGCAAACCAACTGAATCCCCCCCCACTGGAGCCCTGTTCTCAGAGAGGTTTGCTGTGGGGAGTGTCTGGCCAGTCAGCACTGGCTCCCTGCAACCACACTTGCAGTGGAAGGAAATGCTTTGTCCCATCTCTCGGGAGGCTGGTATGCTCAGGCCTCCTGTTGGGCCACCTTGTGTTTGAAGTGCCTTCTGACCTAGGGGACTCACCTTACAGCACCGTATGGGACCCGTATTCTGTTAGGATCCACAGAATTTTCATGGGCTAAGTTTGGCAACTCGATCACCAAGTGTGGATCTTCCTAGTCTGTCTTAGTCTAGAACTCTCTGAAGATCTATCCACCTTAAGAAACTCTCGTGGTATCCGAAATACCAATGACACAGCTCCCAGCATCACAAGCTTCCACGGCAGGTCAAGTTGGAGGATGGGTGGTGGTCCAAGGACTTTGAAAAACAAAACAAAAAACGCACTGCCTTCAAGTCAATTCTGACTCACAGCAACCTTATCAAAAGCCCGATCTTCCTCCCTGGGAGCGGCTGGCGTGTTCAAACTGCTGACCTTGTGCTTACTAGCCCAACGTGTAACCAGTCTGCCTCCAGGCTTCCTACTAAGAAGGTAGACGAGGCCTGCCAGCAGGAACTCTAGCAACGAGAGCTACGGGCGCGGGGAGATACCATCGTGCAGATCAGAGAAGTGTGTACTACCAAAAAGAAATAGCGGAGATTGAAAACATACCCACATAGATAATGGAGTGAACCAGGGCAAAGGGGAGTAACGGTGCAGAGAGAACGAGTCACTGGGCCTGGATGCTTGGGAATCACAGAAAAGAGGGACAGCAAGGCCGATCGGCACAGCAGAGTCCGTAAAGGGGTAGTCAACCTTCTGCTTTCATGAGTTGTGACGGGGGTAATCAGGCTTGTGAGCAGCTATCTAAAGTGCAAACACTAGTCCCTTCCAGTCTGGAGCAAAGAAGAGTGAGGGAGTGTAAAGACTCATGGAACCAATTTGGATAATA